TTATCTCTTTCATATTTTTAGTAAGGAATAGACAATATTGGGAGATCATTCGTTCTTTCAATCACTTTTGCAATAATACATTACTTGGTTGACAGTTCTTACTTGTCGCATCCATTTCCCGCCAGCAACCTTTCGAAGGTCGTCACTCCATTTGGCCGGAGGGCGTCCTACACTACGTTTGCCGAGTCGCGGTCTCCACTCTAGAACTCGTTTTCCCCATCGGTTATCGGTTCTTCGACAGATATGTAGTTTTTAAACTTGGGAAATGATATTTGGAATCTTATTGTAAAAAACGTATACAGCTCCCCATAAAAGAGTCGCTTATCTTGGTTAAACGAAACCGTGGTAACCGAACTCATGGTGAGTTTGGACTTAGCTCTAAGCTCAATATTATGGATATCTTCTTTCTTATTGAAATTATGTGTATTTTTACGGACATATATAAAATATTTGAGTACCATAATACCAGTCTCCTTAAACTTTTCTCTGAGAGAAACCCGACAGCCTAGACGGTACACAGAACGAATCGCTCGTTTTTGCAATACAAATATGGTTTGAATATTTGCCGCTTTACCCCACATGAGAATCCCGTAGGACATTATACCGTGGAAGTAACTAAAGTAAACTAGTCTAGCAGTACTAACATCGGTAAGCTCACGTATTCTGCGGACTGCGTATGCTGCGGAGCTTAATCTGCCGGCCAGGGAAGATATAAATGGAAACCACTGAAGTTTACTATCTAAGGTCACTCCCAAGAAGACTGCTTTATTAACAAGGTCTAACTTTTCTCCGTTTATTTCTATGCTCGGACTAGTCGATTTTACGTTAGGTACCTAATTCAAATTTAACACATTTTGTCTTCTTCGTATTAAGCAATAAATTGTTTGCATTAAGGTAGTTTATTACCTTAGAGAGGGTATCATTAATACTTACTTTAGGCTTACATTGAAATAAGATTGTTTTTGGAAAGGTTATGGAGGCCCGCTGTCGAAACAGCGAAGCTCGAAAACTCTTAGGGTCGTATTCTAGAACTCTACTCAATGCTCAAGTCAGGATTGCACTGGAAACACAAGCTTTGGAAATACGACCCTAATGGCAGAGACTTGAGTATGATTTCGAGTGCTTTAAATCATACTCAAATCCTGACTTGAGCATTGAGTAGAGTTCTAGTATACGACCCTTAATTTAATACGACACTTGACAATACGAAATTTCAAACAAAAAATAGAAAAATGACTATTGATGAATGACATGATCTTAATTATCAACAAACTGAAGACTTAATTATTAGATAATTAAAAATTAAATAACTATCGCTTTACACACAACCACTTGCGTACTTACACACTTTCGCACAATACGCTTAGAAATTAAATTGTCCTCCATGCTGAATCTTGCGATACAAGTCTAGCTAGCTAGCTTTGTATTATTATTGTTAACTGTCTTAACTACGCAGTATACTTTTTAAAATATGACTTTTGAACAGATATTAAGTACCTAATTATGTATATCACTTTTGCCATTGCATAATTTAATTTACAACTTACTATCTATGATTAATTTTTAAAACTTCTTTTCTATCGAATTTTATGGGTATTTCTTCTAGAAGGGCTAAGTTCTGACTTCGGTGGTCGTATTATTTTTCTTAATTTCAGGAAAAACATTGAGGGGGAAGGGAGACGAACTCAAACTCACATCCGTTATTTGTTAAACTAGATTCTTAACAGTTAACCTTCCAGCGGTCGTGCGCGGGCTCAGAGACCTCAGCGAGCTTATTTTAGTCATTTTACAAAAAGTATAAACAAACTGTTGCGCGACCGTGATATTCTCGAGGGGGCGAGGTACATCCTCGTATTAGCCCTGTGACTAGGAATGGGTAATATAGCTTTTTCTGAATATCGTATCGAAACTATATATCAATATTCGAAATCGGATTTTGAAACTATGTGTTTTCTGAATCTGAAACTATATATAAACTATTTCGGTATATAGTTTGGAAAATATACGATTTCGCGTTGGTATCCACTCGGTAATCGCTCGGCTTGATTCGGCATCGCTATATAATACGCGATGCGGAGCAATATCGATATATAGTTTCTGAGATACACGATATCGGATATTCGACATTGCCACAATATATAGTATCAATAACTATATACGATTTGTAACGCTCATTCCTGCCTATGACATTCGCCTCAGGCGCAGTGTCTTTGTGTTTGCGGTCTCAGATTCCGCACGCGACCGGTCGTGTTCCAGAAAAATTCATGGAATGAAATTGAACCTGGGATAGTATTTCATGTTATTTGTACTATATTACTTACAAAGTTACATTATTTTATGAAACATGTAGTAAATGATTTATTATTTCACTATTTGTTGTAGACACAACCTGAGTTACGAAGAATCAGAACGGCTTGCAGAGGAGGCAAAAATCCAAAAAAAGTTCAAAAAATATTTAACGATTAATTTATTTATACATTAAAATAGTACCCAAATAATTATATATTTCAATATCATATAGAGTAATATTGTAGAAAAAGAACTGAACGTGGGTTACACCAGTTCTGCGCAGAGTTTTATTGCTGAATACCGTTTGCCATCCAAAGAACACAATTCGTATATTCGCGTTGTCATCCGCGGAACACGGTCTGCTCTCCTCTCAGTCATAATACAATATGGCTCCACTCACACTGGCGCAGAGTCGAAGTGTCACGCCGCGTCATGTTTTTCGCCTATAGTACATTCATCTCTATTTTCCCATTACTAAGGTACAAATTTATGTTATGCAAATATGAAACGGGCGTCGACGCGCGTCGACGCTTGGATGCAGTCGAGGGGCGTCACACAGTGGGCCCAAATTGATAACTCTTGGTCATAGGAATAACTTGTGGAGTATCTTGCTATTTTTTTTTACATGATAGATAATAACTTTCCTAACAACTTTTTTTCTTTTTTTATTTTCTTGAAAAGTTGATAGTTTCGGAGAAAAAGTTTTTTTTTTGTATGGAGGTATATTCCTTTTTTTTCATCTCAGTACATACGAAAATGTAATGTGCGTGGGTGACTTCCAGTGTAGTTCCAATCATATATAAATAAAATGTTTATTTCTCCAAACAAAAAAAAAACTAAATATTTTTCTCTCTGAAACAATGAACTTTTCAAGAAATTGCATAAGAATAAAAGTTATCAGGAATGTCATTATTTACCATATGAAAATATCAGCACTGTATTCGCAGGGCGCGACGCGACGCTTCGACTCTGCGCCAGTGTGAGTTGAGCCTATGGTTTACAACGCGCGGGATACGTCCTGCCCATAAAAATACACCACTTCTAATCTCCCTCTTCTAATCTAACCCAACCTAACCAGACATTTGATTTTTTAGCTTCTTACAGCCGTACCGTTGGCACCAATCTGCTCCCACACTCTAACCTCATATATAAAAAAAAAAAGACATACAGTCGAATTGAGAACCTCCTCCTTTTTGAAGTCGGTTAAAAACAGATGTTTTGGTTTAGTAGCATGTCTTCAGTTGGTAGTTTTGACTTGACCTTGGTATGCAGTAGTGTGTAGTATCTACACACCTGAAAATCGCTTCATTTGCACACCACAATTTACCTCATCAAGTAATGTTTGTTGCTCTTTAGTGCATAAACGAGACAAAGTTATAACAGTGACTTGTCGCCATTCCTGTACACGTGCACGCAACATTTGTCTAAACTTTAATGTTCTATTTAGGTTTTCAAATCTAAAACAATGTTGCACATTTCCTTCCCACGTATGTTATTTACACAATGTATGTAATCCACAATGCCGAATGTGCATTAAAGAATGTATAAAATTTCTTGAATGTATAAGTATATGTAAGTATGTGCACAAGCCAATGTGTTCTAGGAAGTACGTGGTGCTAAGGAGAATATTTTATGCACGTCCTAGTGTCGCAATAATCTATCTTGTAAGAATAAGTAGGTAATTAGAAGAATTGGTAATTAAATTACAAATGATGTTATTTCGTTTAAGTAAATCCCTATTTTTTCGAACAAAGTATTACATTATCAGTAGCAACAACGAAAACTGGTTCGCTAAACATGCACGCCCTAGTCGATGACGCCACACAAACAGTATACTGTTTAATGCATTAAGCAAAACTGTTCTATTAAATGATTATAGTAAATCCAATAATTCTTTGAATTACTTTGACTTTTGTATTTCATTAAATGCTTTGTCAAATCTACGGCCGGCATTCTATACGTAATACCTAAGCATATCTAGGATACTATGTAGGTAATGCCTAGGAAATGTGTATTATAGTTGTCTGCTTGTGTACATTGCCCAAAGAAGCACGGTATTTCATAAAATGAGTAGGTAATCTATACAAAACGTGAATTATACATGTAGCCTTTAATATGTATATATTTACATCTAAAATGCACAATTACTTCCATCTCGTCATGATTTACGAAAGAGGTCCGATTGGATATACCCTATAAAATAATTGTAGGCTGTAAACGTTTTGTTAATGCTTTTCAGAAATAAAAGAAGTGGACAGTTTTTTGAAATTGGGAGTAAATTCAAGTAAAACCACTTGACAGAAATTCGCCTCGACTAATACTGACTCCTTCATATGTACAGAATCTAACTCGACACTAATTATCACCATAAAATAAACACAACTTTTGTTATCATCGTACACTTCTGATAGTCTATTTCATGGAGTTGAATGTTTTTTCCGTAACACAGTTCGTTTTTAGTATTTATAACTATACAAATAAAAAAGAAGTCCGCGTTAAAAAAAGTGTTATTAGGTGCGTATCTAGAATACCTTCAAGAATAAGAATAAGTTTGGAAATTGCGGTACAAATCTGTTTATTAACGAATCGTTTCCAGATGGTGTCAAACATGTGTCCCCGTGCCCCTCTCCCCCATTTATTGCGTCACATATAACACGTGCGCAAGCGCACGATGCGCGGGCGGTCCTTCTCATCGCTCTACAATACATCACCCGCTCTTTAGAGCCCGACAACGCATCCAAGTGGTATTCGACCGACGTTGTATGCAACATGGGGTGACGTGTCCAGCCACGAGGGAGTGATACGCAGTCCAGACTTCATTCCATGAGCACTCAGTCATTTTGTAACGTCGGACTCAGTAGTTCGTTGCTTCTCGTCAGTGACACTTGATACTTCATTCCCCGATTTTTATCCACCTTGCACCATGCACGATACACTAAAAGATCAAGTAAGTACATAAAAGTACCTATTAAAACTTTACTAAATTCAGTTTTGAGCGATTCGTTGTCATAGGTGGCGAATGTTGGAAAATTGATTAGGCTTTTGACATGTACAGTTTTATAACAAGTAATCAACAAAGTTCATGTTGTCTGTACACCGCAACAAAATAGTGAAATCAAAATCCAAAGCACATTTTCGAATATTTTGTTCCTTACACGGGATTATAAGTTTATTTAAATTGCACTACTAAAATTAGCGAACAGCAGGCCCAAAAAGGCCGCCTTGGCAGAATTATAATATGATTAATTAACAATTCATATTATGAATTTTCAAACAAAACAAAAAACGCAATTCTTTTCATATTTGACAGGCTTCGTGCGTTTTTTGTTTTGTTTGAAAACTCATAATATGAATTGTCAATATAATATGATTATTATACCAATGTCGCTAGAAATGTCCAACGTACGCTTTCTGCTCGAGGCTTTCTGCTGCTTCAATGATAACGGGCTGCGCATGTATTAATATAATCGGCGATGCATATATTTTTAGCATGCGTTTATATTATACGAAAAGAATATAGCCTTGACACTGAATATAAAAATGCACGCGGCATTAAATAAAGGAAATATGTAGCGTACAAAATATGCTTAATTTAAATGGAGAATTTATTGTAAGCCGCGATTCGCGCCCCAGGGCACTGTGAATCAGGAATTCATTTTCAGTCCTTACAGGCTTTTTAAATTGTGTATTTATAATATTTCCGTTAACGGACTATCACAATACTGCTTGTTTTTTGGAGTCTAGAATATATTTCACTCACTTTTTTATTTTGAATATTAGCTACTGAAGTTTAGGTTTACTCATTGCTGTGCGATCAATGTGTTAGTTGCGAATGCTGGAGTCATGTTTGTACATATTGGGACATAATTTCTGTACAATCTGTTTATATTTGTCCCTGACCAAAAGAGTTAAAAGTGCTTCCCCTTCTGAAGTGTGATATGAACTGTAACACAAAGCTACCTCTCCTGCGAAGCGCGTTCTGTAGCGCTAGTTGTGTTACACAAATGTATGTGGAATTATTAATTTCTGAGCACTGGCGTTGCTATTTACTATGAATTACAATACTTATTCTTTTAGTAAATTTATAGGATTTCACTATGAAATCCACTTTGTAGGTGGGCCAAGAATGACGGGTGCTTGGAATAATACAAATATATGGCGGGAAAAATACAAAGACTTAGGGCGTGGTGTATACATAAAAAGACAAGTAGTGCAATTCCCGCCTGTTCGGCGCCTAAATGCCCACACGTATCTCTCTTTTTCTTTGTTTTTTATAATACCGAGTGACGGGACGATCAAGTCGTGCGCCTGGTGGTAAACGACACACCTATCGAAACAGTTCCAGTGCCACTCAGAGCTTTAAATCGCCTGTAATTTAACCAGCACCCTTACCCTCCCAATTCGGAACGCAGCACTTACCGATTGCAAAACATAGTTTAAATAATTTCAGTACAGAGTACTAAAAAAAACCGACCTGAAAAGTACGTGGAATTACATATAATTACCAAGTTTTATTGAAATCGGTTACCGGCAAGTGCGCAAACCCGGATTCATCCCCTAGTTCGCCACTATACGGAACTTGACATAGGAGATAATAAAAATCGGTTCTCTCTACTCAAAGTATATTGAGAGAGAAAAACGCCTTGAATCGGAGAATAGCAAAATCAACCATTAAAATAATTGCTCCTTATAATGAAATTTAGGCGCTATTTATAAAAATGAATCTTCATGCGTGAACAGCCACCCTTAGAGGTCAGGCTTCAAAATGAAATGGCACGACTATGGCGAACCTTCTTTCCAACAAAATAAGTATCATCAAAAACGGTTCACAAATGGCGGAGTTATCGCGTAACATACATACAAAAAACCATACAGTCGAATTGAGAACCTCCTCCTTTTTTGAAATCGGTTGCGAAATTAAGGTATTTATCACAAGATTCTTGTAGTTTTATTGAAATAAACTATTTTAAATCGCGGATTATGGGAGCATGATCATAAAATTGAATCCTTTTATAATTTAAAAGTTATAAATATGACTAAAAAAGTATTCTAAGTACATACAAGTTGCGCTGGTACGTTTGGATGGAGTTACACATTCGTCTCATTGTACGTATTACGTACTTAGTACAGTGCGAACGAACGTGTCCCTGAAAGTACTAAAACGTCGAACTTGTTTGCCCAAAATAATAATTGCGTAATTGCTTGTTTAATTAGTGATAAAAAGGTCAAAACCAAATCTCGTTTGTGACAAATGTCGTTAAGAGGTTTTTTTAATATGTTAAATTCACTGCGTGTCATATTATGTAAACGAAGGCTATCTCACAAATACGGCTATTTACTAAGACCTTAATGAGTAGGTGCTTATTGCACTGTTAAATTTAATAAACGAGCAAAAAGTAGCCTCACTAACAATTATATTATTTAGTTAAAAAAGGCTCAAAGAGCTTCAAAGAAATCTTCACTGGAGCATCTTTTGCCGAAGTCGCACTTGTATCTTGTTTTACATAGATCCAAACCGAAAGTGTTAAAACTATTGCTAGCGCGTCACAACTACTTTTGCTTGTAATTAGTAAATGTGTAGAAACAAGCGGTTCCGGACAGTCTATAGATTTTGTTGCTATTTTTATTAATAACACAGATATCTCGGCACGTTGCAAGTGGTAGGAGATGATGTTTCTTACATAAACATATTTTATTAACTACTAAGTTGGGAGGTTTCTGAAGGATATTTAGCAGTTGATGACCGACACCGTCTGTGGCATCTCTGAAAAGAGAATAAACAAGCGCAAGACTCTTTTCGCTTCTTCTTTAAGAAAATTCATCAACAATCAAATCATATTCATATACATAATCATACATAACAGTTATCCAATTGACTATGAAGCGTACACATTCAACGAATGTCCAAATCCGATTAGTAGAGGATATTTCTTCTAAGGAAGATACAATATTATTATTACTATACCATCCATTATCATCAATGTTAGCACTTTGACATGGTACTTATTGTACTCTCTACTGTGCTCTAGATAACTTTAAACTTTAGAACTTTAACTGCCTCCGTGGCCGAACGATTACCATGCCGGACTGCCACGCAGAGGTCCCAGGTTCGATTCCTGGGCCGGGAGAAATGTTTGTATGGCTTACATTTATTTCTCTCGTGAGTTTGCGTGTAATTTGTGGTTGTCTATGTGTGTGTCCATGGCACCCGCGACACAGGGTTTCCCTAGTGCGGGGCTATGTTCAGTGTGTGCGTTATTTACTTTATTTATTATTTATTATTAGACCTATTGATTGCGAGACGTTTAAGCGGTGGTTAGACTCATTTTCATTAACATCTTTGTTGACCCTTACGGAAACGTGTCATCAATCAGCGACCCCCATTCATTTATTTAGGTATTACCTGATTGGGTCTTGGTGACTTCTTCCTAATTTCGGTTTTCTATCAAAATGCGAACGCGCGGTACTTTGCGAATCATACTTTTTACAATCAATGTGTTTTTTGATGTGTTCTACAAAAATATTCATTTTCCACGTCGTGAATAAGTACTTACATAGGTACCTGTATTGTATGTGTAGGGGAGCGTGGGGGCATGGGAGCCTACTAAGGAAAATTGATAATAAAAGTAATATATGCAAATTTTATGCATAATTTATACAATTTAATTTTTTATTACTTATGAACGTACGCTTCACATATCTGGGTACTAGATAATCACAGAAAAAATATGAAACTAAACTGTAATATTTGATTTAAAAAATAAAATAAAACATGTCATTCGCTCCCATTACCCCACAGTTTGGGAAATGGATCCGGTAAGAATCCTGTATGTCAAAAGGGGGCCATTACATACAATCAGTCCGAAAAAAAATAAAATTAAAGTAATAAAATATTTAAGTTAAAAAGTAATGAAAATACACGAGAAAGTGTCAAAGGAATATCCAGTGAATATTGCAATGGGATAAGAAGAAGAGCCAAATAGCTCCCACGACCCGCGTAACATCGAATTGAAAAAGGAATAAAACAGTAAAAACATTTCTATTTTTTATTGTGATTTCAAGCATAACTTCTAAAATTTGATAGATATGGTGACGTCGCTAGTGTAAATACAATGTAGTATTAATGCTTACGTGGGATGATGATGATGATGATGATGGTTATGGAAATTTGGCAAATTTTATAAGCGCGGAGCGAAAAACACACAACCATCTCATACGACTAAACGCGGGGTTCCATGGGAGCGCCCATGGGACTCGAACGTCGTCGAACGTTAACGAAGACATAGGAGTGCCGTTTGCACAAATACGAGCATTGGGAACGACCAGATTGAACCTGTTGAATCTATAATTTATTTCTCGTCTTTAGCTTTTACATTTCTGTCATCAACTGCCTCTGTCGCCGAACAGTTACCATGCCGGACTGCCACGCCTCAGTCTCAGTTTCGATTCCCGGGCCGGAAGAAATATTTGTATGGCCTACATTTATTTCTCTCGTGAGTTTAGGTGTAATTTTGGTTGTCTATGTGTGTGTCCAGGACACGCGCGACATTTTGAGTGTGTGCGTTATTATGTTGAGCGTCTGCGTTATTATCAAACCTTCGTTTTAAGGTCGTTCTAGGCACTCCATACATTTTGCCTGCCTCATTCAAGTCTACGTATTTATTACCTGAAGCTTGTAATGCCAGTTTCATGCTTACTTCGTTCCAAGCATAACATTGTCATCTTTGTGCCATGCTAAAACAAAAAATAAGCGAAAACAAGTTTAAAGTTTCCATTATTGGACCGGTCCAACTAAAGAACTTAGCACTGGTCCATTGATGGCAATTTGGCACCTTCTAACATGCTATTTACAAAAATTTAAGATATGTTACATTAAATATTATTTAATAATTGGCACCTCCGATAATATAGTAATATTACTGAAAAAATTACACTAAAAACACAGAAATGTACTTACATAGTAAAATACGTCACGTGAATTTTGTAACGGGAGCGCGAGAAACAAAGACGACCATCTCTCATCAACGAAGCCTGTGCGGGGGGATAGAGAGCTACCGGTCCGAGCTAATGCATAATTTTAAAAACGCATAGTTAACGAGATATATACATGTATGTATATATATCTGTTTGAATACCTTGTTGGATGACAGCTTCAAATGGCTATATTGTACGTGACCATATGTTAGTATTTAAAAAAAAACAGGTCTTGGAACCTCCACTGTATCCCAATCTGGAGACATGAAAGTGCGCACGGGGCCCTGCAGAGCTGAGATCCTGTTGCCGTCTACAAAAGTCTATCCCCTGCTATAAGAGAGATAAAGCAATATATCTTGCTATACCCTACAGAACTACCCACCTAGTTGCTCGAAGAAAATTAGCTTCTGCAACTTGTAAAATTTATTAAAAAAATTAAACATTAGAAATATTAACATTTTCGACTAACAAGCCACACATTGTAATGTAAACGGGCTTTGTACGATGTTTAAATTATATTTTTAAATGTGAGAGTTTATAAAATGTTATATTTAGTATAACAAAATAGATTCCCATCGCTGCAATGACAACACGCTCCCCCGGTATTGCAGTAACTACAAAACGCTTCAAAATAACCCCAGCTAACAAACCAAACCAAAAATAGCTGACATAAGATTGACATTGATCGTTGCTATTGATATTTCGAGTATACTCAACTTATATACAAAATGCCATATCATTTTCATGCTGACTGTACCTAGGAGATTGTTCTTCATAAATTTGAGATGTGTTTTGTGCTTGGCAGCTATCGAATGTCTGAACCACTTAACTTAATGTTAGGATGCAGGACCGCTATCGTCAGAAATCGTTATAATAATAACGCGCACACACTCATAGCCCCGCACTAGGGGAACCCTGTGTCGCGGGTGCCATGGACACACACATAGACAACCACAAAGTACATCCGAACTCACGAGAGAAATAAATGTAGGCCATACAAATATTTCTCCCGGCCCGGGAATCGTCTGGAAGTCCAGCATGGTGACCGTTCGGCCACAGAGGCAGTTTTTCTTATAATTTGAGATCAGTTTCGTCAGACGTGACTTTTTAGGAGCACAATCATCACGTGGGTTTATACATAATGCTATTGAACCTTTTCATGGAGCTCTGTACATCTATGCAGGTCTATTTTGAATGCCTCACTTTGTGGGCTTTCAAAGTATTTTGCTTTTTGTTTACATTACTGATCTTGAAAATAAAATATACCTACACGTGGAAAGCCAAGATATATAAATAAATCATACAAAAATAGAAATGCAAAACTCAGTGAATTTCAAGGCTCTGGCCAAACGGCGAGAGTTGCTATTTTTTTTCGTAGACATTTTTGTTGTAACATCGTCAAACGCCGTGCACCCAATGATATGGTGGAGAGCAACGAAAGACGGAAACTGTGTACGAACTAGAAACACTAAATCGAAACTTCAAATTTTAATCACGATTACTGAGAAGTGTCGAACATTGCATAACTGCAAAATAACATCAAACTAGCACCAAATAACGATTCTAGCACAAAAATCCATTAAGTACTATTTTTCAGGAGGCGGTCCTGTTTTTTTCCCCTCTTTCTTTTGGTAAAACAGCATCGGGTCAATGTCGGGTAGCGGTTTCGAGTCCAGTCCAGCGATGAGCCTTTTCAATTTTGCGATCGCAATTGACGGGTTCAAGCCCTTGGGACAATCGACCGCGCAATTCATAATAGTGTGGCATCGGAACGCCTTGAAATCGTCTTTTAATTCGCTTAACCTGTGATACGTGTTGTCGTCTCTTGAGTCTATGACCCACCTGTAAGCGTGCAAGAGCGAGGCGGGCCCCAGGAATCTGCGCCCGTTCCACCAATAGCTGGGGCAAGAGGTGGAGCAGCACGAGCACAGCACGCATTCGTACAACCCCACCATTTTTGCATTGTCCTTTATACTCTGTGCATATTGATAATCACCCATATTTACTTTCTCCCTTCGTATTAAGAAGGGGCGAATGCTGTCGTAGCCGTTCGTAAAATGCGTCATATCTACCACTAGATCTCTGATCACGTACATATGAGGCAGAGGGTAAATAACCACCGTCTTGGCGGGAGGGATCGATTTAATGCAAGTAAGGCAATTGCTACCTTGAACGTTCATTGCACACGAACCGCAAACGCCTTCCCTGCAGGATCTTCGAAATGAGATACTCGGATCCATTTCTTTTATTTTTAACAGCGCATCCAATAACATTTTTCCACAGGTATTGACGTCGAGTTCGTAAGTTTGAATGTACGGTTTTGCACTTCTTTCGAGGATACCGTCAAATCTATAAATTTTAAATAATCTCAGATCTGATTTTGCCTTAGGTTCAATATTGGCCTTGCATGTTGTGCTGGTTTTATTTCTTGCAAGCGGTGTGGCTCCGACGTTGATGCCATTCCGACGACGCCGTTTTTGTGATCGACGTGACCCTAGTAGTAATGTAATCCTGTTAAAAATAAATGAAGTAGAAAACATGATTTAACAAATTTAAAAAAGTATAGAGCACAACCAATAATTGTTTGCGTTATTTATAATTTGTAGGTTACCATGGTTTTGACAAAAGCTGTCATATATTCGATCAAAATACTCTTCAAGTGAAGTTTCATGTGGTTATGGTTCCGGCAGTGAGCTTGTTTACAACATAGATTTAGGAAATGAAACTATTTTTCCGGATTTAAATCGCGTATATTTGTTTTTTCAAACAAACCGACGTTTCGGGCCCTTTACAGGTCCCATGGTCACGGTTGACTGTTTGAAAGTACAATATCATTCAAGACCGAGAGCGGTGATGGGACAAATTGTCGGTTGTTTAAAACAATTTAGCTGGTATCAGACGGATTGACGGCTATTGAATGGATTTTCTGTTGAACCGAATAACTATTTGCTTATTATCTAGTTAGGACAACAGTGTCTATATAAATTCACGTAATATTTACATAGCTTTTCATTTGCTTATAAACCGAAACCTTTGGCAAAAATAACCTGAATTCGTTTATTCGATTGATCGCGCACCTTAGCTGTGGACCATCAAAGTCCTACGCTATGCATACATAGCTATGCATTTTGCACAGCGCCAGCACGAATGACACTGGCCAGCGGATCGGATCGATATTGGCTTGTGGTTATCTTTTTGCCATAGTTCTGTTATCATACAGTATTGGTGTGTGTGTGGTTGTCCTTAGCTGCATGTAATTGTGTCGTGACATTGCAATAGGTGGTTCTGTTTCAAATAAAGTGCCTTTATGCCCACGTTTCCAGCATGTACATATCTCACTACTTTTCACATGTTCTTACCTGTTTACACTGTAACTTAACTGCCTCCGTGGCCGAACGGTTACCATGCCGGACTGCCACGCAGAGGTCCCAGGTTCGATTCCCGGGCCGAGAGAAATAGTTGTATGGCCTACAATTATATCTCTCGTGAGTTTGGGTGTAATTTGTGGTTGTCTATGTGTGTGTCCATGGCACCCGCGACACAGGGTTTCCCTAGTGCGGGGCTATGTTGAGTGTGTGCGTTATTTATTTATTATTTATTGTTTAACAATGTCACTTGTGCTTCTTCCAATCTGTAACGTACTCGTGATAGTTACAGTGTAAACAATGCATCGGTGACTATAGCTCTGTAAAATCACTTACAAAATATGACTTCCTGTCGAAACGATAGATGTCGAACATTATCATTATACATAAGTACATGTAATGTAATTAATAATGTTTATGGAGACCCAAAATCAAATATGCCGATGTTTACACAAGTAATGAGAGAGTCGCTCTTCTTAATCGTTTAGACGAAGCCCTCCGCAGCCGCATAGCGAAACATTGAAATAAGCTGACAAAAATAGCGATAATGCGTGCACGGGAATAGAACCCACGTGAGGGCGGCTCGCCTTCTCAGCTGTCCCATGTTTACAGGCGCACTATTTTCACTCAAATCCCACCCGTAGTATGTAATAGTTTATTTGAAAATGCACGATGTTCATGACTAAAACGTTTAGCCGTGAGTAATAGCAGTTACACAATACACGACTGGAAACTCTTTCCGTGTCCGTGTGATAAACGGTTTCAGAAATAATTTTATTGTGACATATCCAGTACATCCTTGCAGCTAGATCGGGAAGGATACGTGGTGTTGGAGGACTTCCTCCGTCCAGCCGAGTGCGACGAGTTAATGGCTGCGGGTCTGGAGCTCACTAAAAACCTTCCTGATAGTGAGGAGAGAGCGATCTTTAGCACCACACAACCTGAAAAACAGGTTTGTATTGAAAGCTTGCCGAATCACATCGAGGTATCGTCAGCGCCTTTGCAATTTGTTTTATTCCAAATATCCATTCATTGGGTGCAAACACCATTATTGCCACCAATTTCGCCGTTTACTATCGTCATGTTGTGAATAATTGGAAAGAACAAAACGTCTAACGAACAACGAGCAAAACGAGTCGTCAAGAATATTAACGGCACGAAAGTTGAAGAAAAACAAGTTCAATGCCGTCGTACCTACTGAAAGGAGAGCATTAATACAAGTCCGTAAAGTTAATAATAATATAGTTATGCGAACATTTGAAATAAACTAAAATACTAAAAGGACGAAACTAAATAAAATTATGAAAAATAAACACGAAATCTCATTCAAACATGACAAACAACATTTTAATCTTAAAATGACATATGCCTCGTTATAGTCTTGTTTCTGGTTTCTGCAATTTTTAAGAGTTTTACACATGTTTTACACAAATGATTTAAAAGAAATCATGGACTGAGGTAGTAAATAATTACTATAGTTGAGGACTATACAACTTATTACTCGTTCAGTTTCTAATGTATATGTATACGCGCACACACACGCACATCTCTGTATGTACTAATACTCATTAATAAGTTCCCATCTTATTTTACAGCAATTAAAGGATTCATATTTCTTGGCAAGCAACGACAAGATCAGCTACTTCTTCGAGGAAGAAGCTTTCGATAAAGACGGCAAACTCAAGGTGGACCCCAGCATCTCCTTAAACAAGGTACGAGCAATACATTTGTGATCAAATATCACCTTTTGAACTTAAGTCTTGGATACAATTGTGGCGCTTGGGTGATTTCACAAAGAGGTTGATAAAGAGATTGCCTGCTTGCAGGAAATCGATCCTTAGCCCTACCAAAAACAGTCCCGTATGACTAAAGAAACGCGCTGAAATTGCCGGGTACAGATAGATTGTCGGGAAAGTATTGCCGCGAACTTTGTTCTCATCGTACATAATCTTTCTTAGAAATACCAAATGACATTATGATCTATTGATCAATCTATCGGTTGTGATATTCTTCTTCTATTAATGTCTGAACGAACTCTGAACTGCTCTCTTTCCACATTTAACTAAATACTTTCGAAGAGAAGAAAATGTTCGTTCGACCAACTGACGGTCATGATCGGCACTAGCTGCACCGCACCGCACCGCGACTTGAGACCGGCAACTCGCTTCATCATGCACGTAGTACTCTAAGGCAAAAGACAGTCGCGTTTATATTTTTCCGACTTAGTGTTGTCGTTCGTTTAGACGACCATTTGTACTAATTTAGCATGTCAAATGTTAGCCAGTATTGGCGTTTACATCACCGTTTCTACTAATTACCTTTGGAACTACTGACAAACACGTTGCTGGAAAGACGGAGTACTAACCGTCTGTCTGTCGTCCGTCTGTTGGCCTATTATGCTTCAATGGGCAAATCGCTCTCATAAGCAGACGTGAAAAGTACTTCATTGACGGCATTCAAAAAACTCTACTAGTATTAATTTTCTGTTTAAAGACTTGCACTTTTACTGCTTTATCTCATAAGTATAATTTAAAGTTACTATAATTATGGACGAAATGCGCGAAAAAAACATTAAGAAGATGTAAGAGATAGACATACTTTACATATTTTTGAGCTTGGAGTTGCTGGCCGTAAACACAAGAACATAGCGATGTTGGTTTAGGCACGTCTTTCTTTTGGTATTCCACAGCGGTAGGTAATGGCACACAATTTTCAACTTGAACAATCACTTAATAATAAACACTTGCTTTACTATTGTACTTCAACATTTCATGCTCCTGTGGGGCTTAAAAGTCAGTTCGAAGAATTCACTTTGCAAGCGCATCATGTACCAATGAACCATATGACTTTCAAGGGAAATAACAAACTTTGCAAAAAATAATGCGCATTGCTGAAAAATATACACAGAAAATACCGACAAAATTAATCAATCATATTGAGCAATTAAGAGCTGGTTTGCTTAATATGATTCCACTTTTAATTTGCGTGTGACTTTAAGAGTATTTATTTAATATGTAACTATAGGAGTACTAGGTACTTTATTCTCTTGACTCAAAATGTATTTTCGTGTGGTGAGTTGTATGTAGTCGGATTTCCAAATTCAAATCCCTCAGACATGTGGAAGTTACACTAAAAGGGAAAGAAACAAACGATCTTTTTTCAAAACAGTTAAACAGCTAAATACTATCCCAATTAAATAAACCTTGAAATGAAAAAAATCATTTCTTGATGAAAAGGCCTGAAGGTCTCTAGAAGTATTAAATCTAGGATAATGAAGCCGAGAGACGTAGCTCTATTATCTTATAGATAAGATTATTGAAAAAAAACTAATAGAATTTCAGCAAGATATTTTGTGCCAGTTTGAAAATTTACCTGTGTCCGTGTCAACACCGATGAAATGTTTGTAGTGTAAAATGGACGCTTGATGGTGCTATGAAATAAAAATGACCTGCTTACACTCACGCTAACAGTCAATGATCCGGGGCGGTGGAGTTGGCGACGGTCTGTGGATCGAACAAAATATCCACCTATAAAATATTTTGCCTACGGCGTAAGCGAAAGAGTGCCAAAATTTTAAGGTAGACACCTACCTATGTATGTCTGTACAATAAACAATCTGTGAACATATACTTAAGGCCTGGCATTCACGAATAACGAGTATGTGAGTTGGCTACAAAATGTGAAATTAATTAATATTTCATCTAAATTATAATAATCGTATAAAAATAAGTGTTATTAGCGAACACCGCTTCATTGTCCGTAAATATACCTACAGGACATATAACAATTTATGGACGAGTTCCGAAATTAATGATTATTATTACATTATTATTATTATTATTATTATTATTTTCGTATTTATTTTAAACTCTCGCCTCTCCCAAGGCCTAAAAAATTAATTTTAATATTATTATTATTATTATTATTATAACGTGGACATGACATATTCCGCCCACTGTCAAGAACATTTAATCATGATCAAAACGCATTATACGTTTCCTCTAAGGAGAGGGTTGGGAATGTCAATTCGACTAAAGGACCAGTGCACAAGACCTATCCAATGGTAAAGAGGGGTGCAACAGGGAAACGTCACAGTCACGTCGTCAGCGAGTTCATCACTCACCTTCGATTTGCTGACGATGTCGTGGTCATGGCAGAATCGTTGGAAGAGCTTTGGGACCATGCTCCGTGACCTCAAAGAGTTTCCCAGCAGGTGGGTCTAAAAATGAACATGGACAAGACGAAACTTATATCGAATGTTCTTGTCGTATCCACCCCTATAACAGTGCTTGGGAACCCCTACTCTCGAAGTTGTTGACGAGTATGTCTACCTCGGACAACCCGTCCAATTAGGCAGAGCCAACTTCGAGGAAGAGGTCAATCGTCCAATCCGACGCGATTGGTCAGTTTTCGGAAAGCTCCGGGACGTCCTTTCGTCCGCAATACTGCATTCCTTGTAGACAAAAGTCTTCGAGTAATGCGTGTTGCCAACGATGACCTACGGCTCTGAGACGTAGTCACTTACAATGGGCCTCAAAAATCTCAGTCGCTGCACGAGCTATGGAGCGAGCAATGCTCGGCATTTCTCTACGTGACGGAAACAGAAATCAGGAGATAGAAGAACGAAAGTCATCGACATAGATCAAAGGATTAGCAAGTTGAAGTGGCTGTGGGCAGGACACGTACCTCGTTGAACTGACGGCAGTTGAGGCGGAAAGGTTCTTGAATGAAGATCATGAACCGGAAGGCGTTCAGTGGGATGGTCCCCTACTAGATGGACGGAGGACCTGATAAGGGCGACGAGTAACCGATGGATGCACGTCGCGTCCGATCGGCCGGTCTGGAAATCTTCGGGGGAGGCCTATGTTCAGCAGTGGACATCTTCCGGCTGATATGATGATGATAAGAAGATTGGTGCTGGACTTCGGCACGCACTGGCCCACTGCCAATCTTGGGCCCATCGCATGTTTTGAAACCAAACATTCATAAATGTCCGTTGCTTAGAAATCAAAGTCCTAAGTACATGCCACTACAGAGATTCGAACCATCGCCCTCTCCTTTGCGAAGCAACCGTCCTTCCATTGGGCTTCCATTGGCTCATAAATAGGAAACGAGTTTTTAAAAGTTTCGTCAAGCAGTAAATTTGTTCTCTAATACACGAAAGCATGGAACCTAAATATTTATTTCTGCTGCTTCCAGGTGGGTCACGCACTGCACCTGCTGCATCCTATCATCAGATGTTACACGTACAGCGACCGCGTCAAGTCCGTCTGTCACCAGTTAGGTTTTAAGGAGCCTGCCGTCGTCCAGAGCATGTACATTTACAAGAACCCCGGTGTCGGAGGTGAAGGTAACACAACCAACAAAAAGATCCATAGCTCGTAATCGATCGTTCATAACAAAGTCAGTGGTGGACACGGCTGTATTTGGTGGTACGATTGTAAGTTCAAATGCAATGAATGTGCATCGTACCGCAGAGAGTTATGACTATTTAAATGTTTTTATTTTTGTACGAAAATAATATGTGATGAACAAAAGTTGGTAATGCAGTCCTGCGAGGTGGACAATATTTTACAAATAACCCTGTACACATATAGCCGTTTCTGTTTAACTTTCTATTTTTGAATACCTTGTTATTCTAAGAATTATCGCATTTTTATTGCATTGACTTTGTACGTAACTGCAATTAACGTCTTAAACTAATGCTTAAATTGTTAAAACACTCTTAACACAACGAGTTAAGAGTGTATTTGCATTGGTTTAAGACGTGCTCAAGTTCAGTGCAAGTTGACACTTGTACACGTCCTGACTTGTCCGCACGTCACTTTGGCACAGGGTGTACTAATGTCCATTACTACACCCTGTGCCAAATCAAATCAGGGCGTTAGTTATTTAGTGGTAATATGTATGTAGACGACGTATTTCTCAAGCATGTAAACCAGATTAAATTCCATTCCCACAAGAAAAATATAAACAAACATTCAAGAAGATGATAACTTAAACCACAAAAAGAAACAGTCTTTAATGTGTAAAGTAAGCCTTTTCATCGTTTGTTAATCAACTCCCCATTGTTGTTCTACCTTTCTGGTAGTTGTTGAGAAAAACTGCCGTGTAGGTACCCACCTTCTACTTCAGACTGATAGGCGTCCACTAAAGTCTCATCATAAGTTTCAAGGATAGTTCAATCACTTGTTTGATAACTTCGTGCATCGACCACAAAATAAAACAGTTTGGAATGTGAAAAGAAAGCCTGTTTATCATTTATTAACCAACTCAAAGTTTAGCGTTACCAGAACTTTGTAATTTTTTACCGTAAACTTCCTACCTACAGGTACGAAACGTTTTAAGAGTAAATTGGAACTTTTTTATTAATTATAAATTTTATTTCAAAATCATCAATCACTCATATACGTAATCATAAAAAACATAGAATTGTACCAAATATACCCGTATACATGTATCGAATGCGAATGAATGCCTTCACTCTGCAATATTGCCTAGCAATATTGTCACGCACTCATTCATATGGCGCGTTTGTAAAAATTGCCTGGCGTGACGCTTGTAACAGAAAAGTGCTCTCAATCTGTAACTGTGTACGTGCCTTTGAAATTGCAGCCTTTAATCTTAAAACGACTGCGCCCCGTCGCTTCGCCGAATCCGAGGCTCATTACGGTTGATCTCGAACACGTCACAATGACTAAATTAGCAAAGTTAAAACGACGCTCCTCCATGAAGAAACAACACAATACATACATTTGTTTACTTAATATATACTTGCACGTAAGCCAATCGACCCACCCCAATATTTCCTTTTAAAAACTTGCAATTTAATAAAAATTTAAGAACAGCGTATAAAAGTAAGTGATGCTATATTAAAGACACAGGTTTTTGCTTCTAATGCTTCTGAGGTAGTCCTATGTCTCGTTCTTGCGTTAGTTTTTGTCTTTCTTCTACAACTACTTAAAGTTCTCGCGTGCTATTGTACAATAGGGTTTTTGACCAGCTACATGTGTTCAAAACCAATCCTTACAGGTATTACGGGCAGAGGAAAGCATGTCAAAACACTTCATTCTACAACTCAATACAAATAGGCTTTCTAAACCTGATTAAATAATACAACAACATGACGATGATTGTGACTCGTTCTTTAAAGTATTTAAGTACTGTACATAATTGAATTCAATGTTTCAGTGGTAGCACACCAAGACGCATCGTATTTATACACTGAGCCGATTCCCCCTGTGGGATTTTGGATCGCTTTAGAAGACACAACAGTCCAAAATGGGTGCCTGTGGATGGCTCGAGGCTCGCACAAGTCCGGCGTACATAGACGACTTATCCGAAGCCCAGAAAACAACCAGACGTTAATTTACGACAAACCCGCTGCCGTGTATCCGCAGTCGAGCTTCACAGCTGTTCCTGTTAGTAAAGGTAACCTACATTACCACATTCTTAGCAACGGGCTTTGTCAAAACAGAAAACAGCCAGATGATTGATGGAGATGATTTCTATTTTGACTTTATCATTGTCTATCATTTTGTTATCCAATCTTGGATGTAGGCCTCTTCCCTCTTCTTCCGCTTTTGGCAATTTTGTGCCCGACTCATCCAGTCCCGACCTCCGTGTCGTCGGATGTCGTCCATCTCAAGACGAGTAGACTTGTCCAGCGCCTCTCGTCCATTCTCGCAATATGCCTTTTACTTTATACTGTTTACTTAAGTGGTTTTCACCGTGTTCCGACTCGTGTTCGGGAGATGCCATTAGGAGGTCGGGTCTGAACAGCTTCATTACATCTGATGACGAGTTGTAGCTGCTTGTACTGCCACACTGAGCACTCGGTTCTGGAGGCTAACGGGATCCGAAGCACGGTGCACCGCTGGTCGATCGTGGGTAGTACGGGGCCTAAGTAGCGGAAAAGCCACCCGTGCCGAACGCGACCGGAGGGGAGGACCAGATGGCCGGCCATATTTGGGGGCTTTCCGGCACCCCCGCGGTCTCCAAACCGATTGTACCTTTGCTGCTTGGTTAAACACGACGCAGTTCCTCGTTCAACTGCCGTCCTCCTGCCTATTCACTTAAGCTGCCAAGAAGTGCAAAAGAGAAGCTTAGCATAGCTTATAAGCATACTGCAGAAGAGAAAGCGAATCGTTTTGCCTCACTCTTTGTAGAGAGTTCGCGTCTGGATACTGCAGGGAACCTACCACCTACTTTACCTCAGGCTGGCTGCACTGTGACGCTAGTTCGCATACACCAAAAAGAGGTAGGTACTTAGAACTCTGCGGAATCTTGACGTGAATAAAGCTAGCGGGCCAGATGGAATTCCAGCGGTAGTCCGACGTAACTGTGCGCATGAGTTGTCCCCTGTTCTCATACGCCTGTATCGCCTCTCACTTCAGACTGGTGTAGTTCCCAGGTCGTGAAAGCTTGTAAACGTGCAACCTGTGCCAAAAAAAGGAAGCAGAGCTGGCCCTGTCAAGTTTACCCTGTCAATTATAGATCCATCTCAGTCACTTTCATGTTCTGCAAGACTGGAACGTTTACTCAACAACCATCTCCCATCGTACCTTAAAGACAACGTCCTCCTCAGTGATCGCCAGTACGAATTCCGATGAATCCTCATCGGTCATCACCATCATCATCCGATCTACTGAGGATCCTCTTGTGTAAGCCCGTTATATTTGGAACGCGGCTGTAGAAAAGTAAGGCGAAGCCCTTGGTAGTGTCCTTGGACATTTCTAAAGCCTTTGACAAAGGGTCTGGCACGCAAGCCTTTTAAGTAAGCTTTCCTGTTACGGGCTTCCCACTGACCTTTGCAATTGGATTTCGGATTTCTTAAGCGAACGTTCCATTCGAGTGGTCTTAGAAGGCTACTCTTTCGAACACATGGCGATAGATCCTCAGTTCCATACTGTCTGCAACACTCTTTCTGTTGCATATCAGTGATATGTTAATTCCAGGTACCTTTGTGTATGCTGATGACAGACATATATAAGAGCACAGTTGTACATGATCAATGCAATGGTTAATGGAGAGGAAATCTAGTCTTGTCAAGAGTCTATGGTTAGCCGCTTTAATTTGATACTCAAGGCAGTCTCCAATTGGGGCGATGCCAATCTTGTCAGATTTAATGCTACCAAAACGCAGGCGTAGGCACATTTATATGGCGCCTTTCGCCATATAAATATGGGGTGGAATTCGCAATTATGGGGTGGAATTGCCTGCCTGTGGACTTGTTCCCTGAACGTTATAACTTGGACTTTTCAAGGCAAGAGTGAATAGGCGTTATTTAGGTGTGCATGCTCCATCGTCGACCTCATCGTCACTTTCCTTCAGGAGGGACGGAGGACAAATGCGCCTTACATTTGAATAAAACAAAATAAAAGAAGTCATCCGCCAGCATCAGGTCATTGATAAACCTCTAGAATCAATGTACTCTCTTCTTATTATATTGTTTTACAACGGCATTATGCCAAGAAATTGAAATGGTTCTGGTCTTCCCAGGTACGTGTATCTTGATACATGGCAACGTGGTACACAAGAGCGCTCACAACCGTTCTGACAGGAGCCGCCATGCCTACACCTTCCACGTCATCGAGAAGCAGGAGAACACATACTCGAAGGACAATTGGCTTCAGGAAGGACCCAATGCACCTTTTCTAAATTTGTTCACCACACCACAAATAGAATAATTAACGTAACTTAAACATCTCATCACCTAAATATAAACCGTCAACTCGATGCAATTCAAAATGTAACTAGGCAAGTTTTGTTGACGTCACGCATCTCGATACACTATAATACAAGACAAGACTCATCTTCCATCAAATCACTTAATACGACACGGTAAGGTCAAATGAAACTGTTAAATATTTTAGCGTAATAAGGAAACGTCCTTGTACAACTTTATAACAAGGCCAATACCGACGTGAAGGTGGCCACGTCAGGTAATAACATTTATTATTGGTAAAGTCATGTTTTCACCGATTGCTACACGTTGAAAAAGAACTTTTTTTTTAAATTTTAATTACAAATCAGCAGTGGCGGAAAAAACAAATATATGCGATTGTGGAACAAAGTTTCATTTCTAAAGGCTTTAAAATAAATATACGATTTCGTGCACGATGCCACAGAGTACGGCACTAGATTTTTTTATTTTTAAATAGAACAGTTTTATTTTACCTCTCTCATAAGATAGGTCTTAAAATTAGTACTTGCCAGCCGCAAACACCGACTAAATGTTTGTAATATACCTAATTAGGCAAACACATAAAAGCTCTCGGATATTGTCCTTACGAGTGGGCACCTCAACTAGCTTTTAGTTTTTCACACATATTATTGTTTATTGTAGGTACTATCTACCTGAGCGTGTTTGCATTACATTTTTTTACTGCGAATGCAATACATTTATATTTTATTATAAAGTTTATTTCAAAAGAGTGACTGTGAGATGTGATCAATCGCAATTGTTTTGCGACTTTATTGTGATAAAATACTAGATTAAATAAATATTGTATTGAACTATTTGACTTTTTAATTTACTGTTCCATACTATTGTACACGCGCCAGCACATCAGCTACACGTTGACGTATCTTGTTCCGTTGCACTAGAGCCGATTTTCGAACAAAAATGTGTAGTCTGATGTGCCGTTGATCGTACATGTAAAAAATCATAAGAGATACCTGACTCCCTAACATGCCCAAACCGACCTTTTGGTTCTGAGAGCCATCTTATGTATTGAACAAAGTAAAAATTAAAGCAATTTCCACTTTATTGTAAAAGTAGTACAGTGGAGTGTTGCTTGAAGATGATCAAAACATATTTTTAAAACCAATTCAAAATTTCGTAAATTGGTCGAGCGGCTTGTTGTATGGACTGCCAGTTACAATACCCGTGCATCGATTCCACGATTCCACTATTTGGTTTTAAAGTTATATTTGAAAAGCATTGTTATACTTTTTAATGTTAACGTTCACAAATCACAATATTTGCTCACTAGAAACTGCCTAAGGTGAATGGGTAAATATTATTAATAAAGCGTGGGGTGGGTACGGATAGATTAACAAATCACGAAATCGCTCTGCAGTTCGCATACGATCGCGTCTTCTGTGATTACGCATTGTTCCACGTTTCGTTCCCGTTTATCTATTGACTTTTAATTACTTTCAAAGTATTCTTTCTTGTTTTAGTATGCCGCACTTAACGGAATTACTAAAATTAGAAATTCTTGTTCTGTATGAACAAGATGTGCCAATCAGAGAAATTGCAAGGCGACTTCATATAAGTTCTTCGGTAAGTAGACTGCAGGCGGCAGGTGGCTAAATTGCAATAAGGACCACCCCATCGTTCATTATCCCACGGGTGTTATGAAACATGTTTCACAAATCATTAAAATTAAAAAATATATAAATCTAGCATTAGGTGAAAATCGAAACTACAATTATGAGGGCCTATTATACAGTATTATAAATTGCTTGTTCACAGAGAAACACTGTCAAGCTGCGGATCAATCGCCACAGAGCGACTGGAAGTGCAACGTAATCCGGGGCCAGCACCGGTAATGTTTACTTCCGCATCTAGTCGTCACCTAGATATTGTCAATCGCCACATTAATGAAGATCCCTTTACCACTACAAAATCAAATGCTCAAATTCGTGAAATAAGGACCAGGAAGAAGGACCTTGTGGTGTCCATGTGGGAGTCAATGCGTGGTGGAGATTTATGCTGGTCGATGGTCACAGGCATGAAAGACCGTTTACAGCAAGTGACCGATTTTGAAGGCCTTCCTATGCGGTATCGATAGTAATTGTGTAGTTTTTAATAATAGATATTATTAATTATTAAGTCATCGCTGGGCAAAAATAATGTGAAGTGTGAGTGATGTTATTGTTATTTTTGCAACATGTCTATTCACTGCACTACCTTATGATTTTGTAAAAGTGCAGCCTGTAAAAGTATACTTTGTTTCCATTCATTCTGAATAAAAGATTACTTATGTAACATGTTTCAAATCATACAATTTTAACGTGTTATTCAAATGAATATTATTAGAAAAACTGGTGAGATATCGAGTTGAAATATTCAAATATGAATGCGTAAGGTATTATTCCATTAATTGAATGATTGTTTAAGAATTTTCACCAAACCGGTTTGTTCACTTTCCATGAAAAATATATTGATATAATTGTGAGTTTAAAAAATACGGGCTGTAAGATTTTAAATAATTATGTATACTAATTATAATTTAGAAGAATAAAATATTAAAATATTTGTTGATTTACTCAAGAAGGTTACTTTTATTTCATTCACCTAATGTTTGTGGGAAGTGGTTCACTTTGAGAATCTAACGTTCTTAGACATTCCTTACACCTATCCAGAGCTCAAAACAAAAAAAACAATATTATATTTATACTTAACTAAATAATATTTTATTTTTAATATGGTGCGAAACATGCTTGCCTCAACTTGCAAAGCAATCCTTATACCGCTAGGCCATGGCGACCTTAGTATGCAGCTGATTTAAATTTATATTCTGTATTGAGTAAGAGCTATACGTTGCAGATAAAATTGGTTTAAAAACTTTCTACAATGTCATTCGCTAATGAGACGTCCAGATATTCACACCAAAATAAATGTTACGACTCACAGGTTAAAGATTAAGTTTGTTTAACAATTTTCCTCACATTTTTCAGTAGAATTAGAGTAAAATTTTATCAACCGCTAAAAATGTTTGCAACGCAGCCATATTGAAAATAAAATTTTGACCGTAGGTTATTATTAAACACCCACATGCCGATTTTCAAGTGAATTAGAGCAAATTTCCAGGTACCACCAAAAAATATTTCTATGGCAGCCATATTGCAAACTAGCGATAAACTAATGCTGATCGCAAATTATTATCAAGCACTCCTAGAGACTCCCACATGACAAAATTGTGGAAGGGATCAGAACAATTTTTTTCTACTACCAACAAACGCTTGTATGGCGGCCATATTTGAAAATGGCGAAAAACCAATTTCGAGCACAAATTGTTATTTGGCACTTCTAGAGGCCTCCACATGCCAATTTGCAGCTGAAACAGAGCGAGTTTCATTCGGCAGCTATTTTTAAGGAAAAAATGCCGCATGCCAAATTTCAGCCAGATCGGACCACTTTTTTTTGGGTTCCCATTTTGAGTCGACCATCTTAAAAAAATTTTGTGACCAACAGTTGGCCCCCGCCGATACTCGCCGAGCTATAGGGCTCTGAAATTCGTATAGCGGCCATCTTGTTTTTTCGAATTTCGCATTTTTATTACTTCCGGTAGAAACTGCCCAGAGTGGCGGCCATTTTAAAAAGTTTGCCAAAACGCCTTGAGAGAGTAAATAACGAGTACCTACAAAACTTAATCAACAATGGTCATTTTCGATGAGTCATTTAGACACTCACATGTCTTTCTACATAAGCATAATCTATTGTTTATAGTGCCCCTTCCTATCAACCTCTTGGTTATGAGTCATTTAGACAGACTAATTTGCCAACTCTTAAGCTAAGTTAAAACTTATAATTATGAGATTTTGCGAAATGCTAAAACAAATTCAAACAGTCTGTGGCGCGGTGTTTTATGCCAAACATAAAACACCGCGCCACATGATCTACTTGCACGATATACCTATCTATAGAAGAATACAAGAAATAACACCTTGTCAGGTTGTCACCTAGATATTGCTCATAAACTTGGAAGATGAATTGTCCCGAACGTTTGTGACGTTAAATTGGTAACAAACGAAAAGACATAAAGAGTTATTGTTACATAAACAATCTTTGTTAATTAATTAAATTGTAACAAAATATTATGATATTGGAAATGAAACTATTTTTCCGGATTTAAATCGCGTATATTTGTTTCTACAAACAAACCGACGTTTCGGGCCCTTTACAGGTCCCATGGTCACGGTTGACTGAGGTGGTACAGTCTTCAACCAGTTATGTCTAATATTAATGCAAACCACCCTATTTTTTCACTATAGTTACAATAGTTATTAATTAAATACCTTGTTTTTAATTTTACAAAGTAAACATTCCAATTTACGCTACATTAAGTTTTACAAATTATTTTATTGAATGAATTTTTATTAAATTTAATTTATTATTAATTATTAATAGAAATTAGAATAAACTAAAACATATTAATTAGTACTGCAGTCTTATGTCTGTTTGGGATTTTTCATTAGAGGAAATACTGGATCCCATACTGGTGGTACGGAGAAACCATCTTCCCTGTTGAAATTAGGATGTTTTTTAATTTCAATGGCCTCTCGCAGCATCCTGGGTAGATAACGGACTTCTTTTGCAAGGACCTGGGGTTTGTCAAACTTCATTGAATGTGTAGGTTTATCTATATCGCATGATATGCGAGCATGTCATGGATAAACCTACAATAATTTGTAAAACTTAATGTAGCGTAAATTATTCCAATTTACGCTACATTGTAAATGTAATTGTTTTCTTTGTAAAATTAAAAACAAGGTATTTAATTAATAACTATTGTAACTATAGTGAAAAAATAGGGTGGTTTGCATTAATATTAGACATAACTGGTTGAAGACTGTACCACCTCAGTCAACCGTGACCATGGGACCTGTAAAGGGCCCGAAACGTCGGTTTGTTTGAAAAAACAAATATACGCGATTTAAATCCGGAAAAATAGTTTCATTTCCTATGTGTAACAATCGCGAAAACCTAAGAACTCGAAAATATTATGAGTTTATACTGTTGTACGAAATTGATTGGATATTGCTCATAACTATATTTTGTGTGGAAAATGAAATTAGCTCTGCACAAGTACTTCGTTCAACGCCTTTATGTTCTATTGAATTCGTCCGACTTCATTGAGCTTAAATTTATAAAACCTTGCATGCAAATATCACAAATAATTTCGGCCCTTTATTGCCAATTTCTCTGGGTTTATTTGTAAAGTGAGGGAACACTTGCCTTTGGGTGAAGGTTCGTGTAGCTGATAGTACATTTTGAACGTTTCATCGACCCAGCAGCAAACTGACCACTTTAGCGTATGTAGAGGCGAAATAAGGGCCATCCAGCCATGGCAAATGGGCCTTACATCACTTTTAAATATCAACTCTCGTTTGCGCTGAAATCACAAATTAGAAAGCTGAAATAGTACAGCGCCAACCACTGACCTGTGGTACATCTCCGTATATCCCAAAAATATTCTGTATTTATTGTATTAAAAAGATAATATCTCTAACAATGCCGTGCTGTTCTATTCGGTGGTGTGGGAGAAACCGCAAAACATCTAATTACAAAACAAATGGAATAACATTTCATCGGTAATTAAGTATTATATTTTGTCGAGTTCAGATTACGGGGTGTGCTTATGCTCTTCGACGGCACGGCGGTAAGAACTATGGGCTCTTGATGAGGAGGTTCCAGATTCGATTCTCGATTTGAGCCAATTTACGAAACAAACATTTTTAAATTGGTTCTGGTCAGGGTATTCTGGGTATTGCCCTCAGAGTTATCGTTACTCTGGCACTCATAGTACAGGAAATAACCTAGTTTGAGACCAGAAATTTGGTGTGAATGTCTGGCTTTTATTCCCTTAATACTTCTCTATGGCATAGCTTCCAAGAAAAAACAAACTATCAGAGACGATGGAGATAAATCAACGCCATAAGAAACTCATGTCCAATACCTTGGAAGTATGCCTTAAATTTTAAATAATTGTGAGATCTTGTACTCGTAATAGAGTCTCCGTATAATACCAACGTAAGAAGGCGTGCGCACGCTTCGGGTTTCGCCTTCCCCTGGACTCTCGGCCTACGGCCTCGGCACTTATGACTTTGTATTAAAAAATTAACATAGCTCTTTAATGGCCGCCATTGGCATTGAAAAATGGCAAAAAGCAAATTTTGACTGCAAATTATTATTAAACACCCATAGAGACCCCGATATGCCGATTTTCAGTCGAATTAGAGGAAATTTTTGTCTGCCGCCAAAAAAGTTTGTATGGCAGCCATGGACAAATAGCGAAAAAGAAGTTTGGATCGTAAATTATCGTCAAAACCCCCCTAGACCCCCATAGCATAGAGACCCCCCCAGAAAAATAAAATGTGTGTGAGAGCCACATTAAAAAAATGGCGAAAATAATTTTTGACCCTAAATAATGATTAAGGACTCCTAAAGACAGGGGTCTATAGGAAGGCTTTTGATAAAATAAATCATGCTTTGCTGCGTGAGAAGCTTTCATGTTACGGTATTCATGGAAACCTATTACGTTGAGTACAATCCTATCTTGAATCGTAGTCAATTAGTTGTTGTAAAGGGTTTTAATTCGGCTCCCAAGCCAGTCAAATTTGGTACCAATACCCAAGGTTCTCACGTAGGACCATTGTTTTTCAATATTTTCATTAATGACCTGATCCATAGGCTGAAATGCCCATGTCTACTATATGCTGACGATCTTAAGGTGTTCACAACCGTTAAAGACACAGATGACTGCATTGCACTGCAGAGTGATGTCATTTCAATTGCAGACTGTAGCAAACAAAATTATATGCACCTTCACGTTGACAAATGCTTCGTGATGAGCTTCAATAACAAACGTCATAAAGTATTCTTTAACTATGCAATCGGTCGCAAAACACTTCAACGCAAATCTGTAGCTTGGGACCTGGGCATATACGTTGATGATTCATTATGATTACATCGTATCCAAGTCATATAAAACCTTAGGTTTCATCGTAAGAGCTACTGAAAACTTTAAAAGACCCTCCACTTTCATCATTCTCTTCAGCAGTCTCATATAAAGTAAATTACTTAAGTACGGCTGTGTTATACGGTCCCCTTATTATGAAATGCACTCTAACCGCATTGAACAAGTTCAGACCAAGGCTCTTAAAATTGTCGCATTTCGATCGGGTCTGTGTTGCATTTGTTGGCCAAGTTTAAAATTTGTTCACTGCGGACCCGACGTAAAACACTGGATATTCTAGTCTTACAGGGACTCATACACGGTAGCCTTGTTTCTGCCGGTCCGGTATTTCACATTAACTTTAACTTCGTCGTCCGAAACTTTGTTAAATGTTTCTCGAAATAATACATCCTTCTAAAACCCCGTGACTAGAATGTGCCGAACCTAACCTACAATGATTTACTAATATCAGAATCTGGAGGTCACATCGATGTTTTCGACAACAATCTTTGTCGAATTCGTACCAATCTCCTCAAATATTTCGACTCGTTTTCTCATTAGTAGTGCCAAATTAATAACTATGTTAGTCTTTAGTTGCATTAGTTTTAAGTTGTTCTCCCACTTTTTCTCACTTTTCCTTTTTTTGTTTTTTGTAATCCTCATGCAAATATGTTTACACTTTGCATAATAACGCTGTATGTACAAGTATTTTGTTTTGATTCTAGATTAAGACTATCAATTGCATCTCAACGTGTTCCACTGAATGTAAACTGGTTTGTACATCCAATTAAAAAAAAGAGTTGTTCAACGGCACCCCGTTACAGTCGTGCTGTAGTTCATTACCTAAGTAGTGCTCAACAGAAGTGTACGAAAGAAGTGCCCTTTTTATTTGATGAAATTCATCAATAATAATGTAACATTCTTGGGAAACTGATAAAGTCAATTTAATAGACATATAACGTACCTAGACATCAGTGTTTCATGTCAATTATAGTTTTGTCATATTTGGCTTGTGCCACGTTATTTATTTAATTAAAATCTATTTGAACTTAGAATAATAACGCATAGAAACCTCGCCCGCACACGCTAAGTGAGGCAAGTTAGAGGGTTCCAAACGCGTCCCAGGAGCGCGCGGGCTGTTAGTGCTCAAGGTCATATTGCACCGCGAACAGCTCCAAAATTTTTTGCTAAAAATGACGAAATGTGCGGTAAATGGGTGTAAAAATACAACAGACATACAAAATAGACACTAACATCGCATTCCACAAGTAAGTAATGCGTTTCAACTCATATTTTTATGTAAATATTCACTAAAACAGAAAAATAATTTCGCGGCAACAAGATACGAAAGTGTTGCAAAGTAACGAATTTTTTTTCTCCCCATTTTGCTATTCTGTATCAAAATAATTATATTACGTAAATTTTAGTGGTGCCTGTAATTTCGATTTATTTGCGCATTTTGAACTAATATTTACTCGAATAAACATTAAATGTTTTCGTTAACTCCTGTAAGTGATTGGGACACTTAATTATTTTATAATACTTGTAACGGCTCTGCGTTCATGCTTTATTGAATAATTATTTATATTAATTTTATTTGAATTGGAGCACATATTGCAACAAATTTACAGTATATATTTGTTTCTACTATAGTGTTGGCACCACCAGTACAACTTTGATAGCTTATTATATGTCTTTCTTTTCGTAACTCAAGCGAAATATTTTATATTAAAATATTTTATTTTCTTAAAAGGGGAGCATTCTTAAGCGATTTTTTAATCTATTTTAACAGTTATTTTCTTTAATGTTTGCTTATGGCATTTTCGGTTTTAGGTTTCGAATATGGCACTTATTTCTAAATCCAAGATGGCGGGCGCGATTTTTCGAATAATGGCAAGTTGGGTATCGTTTTCGAGATGTTTGGGAATGTTCAATACAAATATGGGACTCATTTCTAAATCCAAGATGGCAAACACGACAGTTCAAACAAAAGCAATATTCGTAATGAGCACCCCCAAATACCTCGAAAACGATACCCAACTTGCCATTATTTGAAAAATCGTGCCCGCCATCTTGGATTTACAAATAGTGCCATATTCACATTGAGCATCCCCAAATACCTCGAAAATGATACCCATATTGCATTTTTTTGAAAAACTCGTGTCCGCCATCTTGGATTTAGAAATGAGTGCCATATTCGTAATGAGCACCCCCAAGTACCTCGAAAATGATACCCATATTGCATTTTTTTGAAAAATCGTGCCCGCCATCTTGGATTTAGAAATGAGTGCCATATTCGTCATGAGCACCCCCAAGTACCTCGAAAATGATACCCATATTGCATTTATTTGAAAACTCGTGTCCGCCATCTTGGATTTAGAAATGAGTGCCATATTCGTAATGAGCATCCCCAAATACCTCGAAAA